AAAAAAAAAAAAAAAAAAAAAAACCGGTAACAGGGCAAAATTTGTCAATTAATCTAATAAATTCGACATACCAAACATTTGGAGGTTCCAATCAATTTCTCTATCAAAAAATTAAATTGTAACTAGCACACGAATCTAGGGACATAGATAGGAGGCGGTCCAATAAAATTTTTTATGTAAAAAATTAATTTTTATTATGAAATTTTCTTCTATGTAATAGTTCAGTGCAATAAATTTTTTTGTCCTCCCCTAATTTCGTCCATGCACGTATTGAAAATTATTTTTTTGTGCCGGGCCACCAGCCAACTAGAAAAACAGCAGCGGGACCAAATAATTAACCTTAGCTCAGATTTATGTGAAGAGATTTTCTCAAATTGTACCGAATTTTAAAATTCTAAACATGGTTAACGCTTACGTTGTAGCAGTAGAAATAATTTGTTGTCTAAGTATGTACGAGGAATTTAGGGAAAATTTAACAATAAACTGGATGTGGGTCTGTGGGTGGCGAATTGGGTGTCCTTTTTAGTTAGTGACACGAGAGTCCAAATTGAGTCCAATGTCACCATCACTAGTTCTTACGTTGAATATTACAAATAATTTAGCGGAAAAAGATCGAGACAGACCCCCAGCCAATGAGGGGCGCCGACGGGAAGGGCCTCTGACTCCGAGAGTCCAACTTGAGTCCTATGTCACCGTCACTAGTCTTATGTTGAATATTACATGTAGTTTAGTGGAAAAAGATGGAGACAAACCCCCAACCAATATAGGGTGCCGACAGACAAGGCCATACATTGAATATTACATATAGTTTAGCGAAAAAAGATGGAGATAGACCCCTAGCCAATAGGGGGCGCCGACGGCCCTGTCCATGTAGCAGAGCTCTGTTTAGCTGCCAACCTGCCAACGCCATTGGACCATTTCTCATTACTGTTTCACGAAATGAAATTTGAAAATGCTAAGGGCGTGGTTGATTTGTCATTTTCGGCCCATTTTTCGTTTTTTGTTTTAAAAAATGCGAAAAACACGTTTGATCCGTAGTTTTCGAAAACGCATTTTCGAAAACGAGTTAAATTTATAACTGAAAACGCAAAACGACTTTTTATCATTTTCAGCGTTTTCAGTTATAAATGTCGAAAACGCTCAAAATGCGGAAAACGGGTCATTTTCGGGGAAAACTAAAAATCGTTTTAAAAATGAAAATGGAAACCAATTGCACCCTAAGCCTCTGTTTGGTAGCAATTTTTCATCCTAAAAAATCAAAAATTTACTGTTATTTCACTATTTCAATCGTCATTTTTGACTTCTTCACTCATAAGTAAGACCCACTTTTCTCTCTAACGATCAAAAAATCAATTTCGATAATCACTACCGAACATGCCCTAATATTGCAACTTGTCTCGATCTTTTAAAAATTGGTGCAAGCAATAACTTTTTTTGAAAAAGTAAAGAGTAAGTTACACACACTAAGAAACTTCCTTTGGGTTTGATCTTCGTTTCTAGAGATGCTCTGATTTGTTCCAATTTGTCAATTAGACTGATCTTTCTAAAGAACGTAGTTGAGTTCAGCTCGTTTTGGGTTTGCATTTTCTTGTAGTTATCATGTATAGGGACAAATGTTAAATTATGGAGTTAGATTAAACTTTCACACGTCTCTTTTTATTTCTCTGAATACACGATGAAGTTCAAACATCAACTTTTTGAATGCATTTATGATTCATTATCAACCTTGTACTGGAACAGTTAGAAGCCAAAATTAAGCATCAATTTTCTTTATGGCAAAGTAATGTGACAGCTAATTAAAAAAACAAGTGTCGACATTGTTAAGGTCCATCTTGCAAGAAATAAATAAAAAATTAAATCAGAGGGAGTTGGGAGTAAAATGGTTGGGAGCATGAGCATCCATGACATCAAATTCAAACCAACACCACCTAGGAAGTACGTTTAGTGGGTGGACAAATTAATGAGAAAATTTTTTTTTAAACAAAAATACACAATAATATGTTGGCACGTCGAAAAATTATTTATTGATATATAACTTTAAGTCTTAACAAGTAATAAGAAAGTTACGTGATCTCCTTGGTCTAAACATGATCGTCAAAAGAGATCATTGCTCGAGGAGAACTGCAGAGATTATGTCTGAAACATGATGATGTTGTTTGTGGTTTGAAAGGAATTGTTAGAGAGACTTGACTAGCCAACCATGTAAATGACCTAGAGATCATGCTATCGTTTGATTTAGATAAAAATCAAGTTTTAGTAGATTTTGATAAAAGTGGAAGAAATGTGTTATTGAAAAGTGTCGAATTTAATTATTGATTTTAATTTAAATTAAAATTAAAATTTTTTAATTGAACCAAAAAGGATTTAAAGTATTTAGGATGAGACTTTGTAGCCACACACTATCCATATTGGGAATCTACTTATAATGTGTAGCGAAAAATTAAAATAGATTTCGATTCCCACCAGGATTCATTTTTGTGTTTAGATAGAAATTATGATAAAAGATGTAACTTTGAAAATTCTGCAAACATTTTGTCATTCTTTTCGTTTCAGCAACTTCGATCTGCTACCCATAGCTGTCCAATTGTCCAGCTTCTAATGGTGATCCACACAGAGAACAAGATTGCAAGATTATAGTTTTCTTTTTGTGCTAGCAAGAATAATGAATTATCTCAAAAAATGTACACCCTAATCAGTTATTTATATAAACCCAAACGGGCTTGGCATGATTCGATCCAACATTTAATTAATCTATTTAATTAAATTCGGTCCATAAATTAATTAATCCAATTAATTAATTTGAGCCTATAAATAACCAACCCAATTAATTAATTTATCCAACGATTGTCAAATTAATTAATTGACAAATTGCAATCATTCAATTCTCTTTTGTGTGAGACCTATCAGGTTCCCGATCACGATGCCTAACGACGTGAAATATTATTTTGATCTAATCAAAATTGATAAATTAAAACACCCTTTTAATTTATCACAAATTCACACTCGCCGTCCCAGATTGATATCTAGCAATGTGTCAGGGCAATACATGTGACGGGAAATATCACGTGGTATGACAAAATCAAACTCGTTCGTTTGTCATGGAACTATAATCCCTTCGTCTATATGATCTAATCAATTACCCTGATTATTGATCATATCTTTCACTCTACTATTAAGTCAATATAAGTCGAAAACTCCTTTTCAACTTATGAGTACACATTGGTCAATGATTTCATTATCGACTTCATTAAATGAAACGCGGATCATAATCTCTTACTATCTACCTTCATACGATTATTGACATACCCGAACGATACCTTATTAGTAGCCCTTGACAGAGCAACATCCAACACCGCCAAAATATGACTGTCCTTATATAAGGTACCATGACGACCTTAAGTCAAAAGACCAATTCCACTACCGAACGTTATAGATTAACCACTGACACTCAGATAGTTATCCATGTGGAATATCTCGGGAAGGTCTCCAATGTTTTGTTCTATAACAAAACATCC